AATTAAAAACTCAAATCAACAAATTAACGGACCATTCATTTATTATTACGAAAAAAAAAAAACAGCCTCAAGATATCTTCTGCCAACACAAGTCTGTCTCTTTAAGGTATTTTTTTTAATTATTTTTCATTGAAGAATTGTCTTGTCAAAATCTGAATTTTCTGTCCTTTTCTTTATTATATTGTTCATGTATAGCTTTTTCGGTTTGTTTCCCACTACCATGAATTACTTTTCTTATATATAAATATAGTTTCATTTTGTCCTTTCTTATGCTTTTAAAGGATTACTTTTATATCAGATTGTTTTATTTTCATTTTTTCTTATTCTCACTTTGAGGGTAATTAAATATTTCTATTTTGTTTTTAAGAGAAGTCTGATAAATAAACTATTAAGAGTTTTTTTTTATATTTTATGGTTTTTTTGTATTATGCTATAACAAAAGATGTGGCAATAATTTTTCTCTTTTAAGGTTAGGGATGACATTAATTTTATTTTGAAAGAATGTCAATCTCGTAAGAATTTGGATTTTGACAATGAAGAGAATGATATGTTCTTAGACACTACGAGAATATCAGAAGTTGAGAATGAGAATGTTGAAGCTAAATTTGACAGTACAAAAAAAATTGCGTCCATTAATTCCAAGATCCCGGATAATGTGATACCAAACATTGATATGAAGTTTGAAACAGAGGAATACACTTACAACTTTTATAATGATTATGCTCGCAAAGTAGGTTTCAGTATTCGGAGAAGTAAGGGAAGTAAAGATACTTATCTTAGTAAGATGATGAATAGAACAATTTGTTGCTCTAGTGAAAGTACTCGTTAAGTAGATAAATGGCGTCTTATTATGAAATATTGCCGTGCCGAAACAAGCTTTGGTTGTCTTGCAAGAATAAAAATCAATTGTTGCCAAACTGGTAAATATCGTGTTGTCGAGTTTATTGCTGCTCATACACATGTGACATCAAGTCCTAACAAGAGTCACTTGCATAGGTCTCAAAAGAGATTGATTGCCGTCCAAGCAATTGAAATTGATTTAGCTGACAACTCAGGAGTTGCTCCGAGAGCGAGCTGTGAATTAACGGCTAGGAGAGCAGGCGGGCCTGAAAGTCTCGGATTCACTTACAATGCTTATCGGAATTATTTACACACTAAACGGACAATTCAAATGATGTTAGATGAGACATGTGGCGTCCTTGCATATCTTCAACACATGCAATTGGAAGATCCTTCTTTCTAACTAACATGGCATATATAATTGACAAAAATAAAAAAAACCAAATATGATTTTTTTTTTCAAATTTAAAAGTACCATATATATTAAGGGCCCGTTTGGATTGGTTTAAAAAATCTGCTTTTGGTTTATTTAGTCCAAAAGCCGAATCTGTTTGGATGAATAACTTTAAAGTGTTTTAACTTTTTTAAGCACTTTTAGAACAAATCATCTCTTTGGTGCTTATGAAAAAAGTGCTAATAAAAAGCTTTTTTATTTACATTTTTAACCTTTTATTTGTGAACAACAAATTAATTATCTAATCCATACATTTTATTACATTACTTTTTATAATAATAAGTGCTTTTAATTTTTTTTACCTAAACAGGTTAAATAGCTCTTCTTAAATTATAAAAGTATTTTTTAGGCACTATCCAAACACTAATTAAAAAACCCAATATACTTATCTTCTTTTACTACTTAAAAATACAAATACGAATGATCCTAAACGGGTAAATTTAGAACCAATTATAACATTGTCGGCCTCGTTCACTTCGCTGATTCGAGTTGAGATGTGATTTTATATGAGAGCTTTTTACTGTAGCAAAAAAGTTAGATGTGATTGTTTGTGAGAGTTTTTTACTGTAGAAAAACTCGAATTCTAAACTCAAATCAGCGAAGTGAACGGAGCTTTTTCCTACTTAAATAATAAAATTTGGCAATTCTTACTGGGTCAAACTTTATAACAAAAATAAGCCCATTTAATCAAAAGACACATACAACCAACCCGCAGTAAGAGAGATAAATTTGCTCCTATTTGGGGCTTTCCATTGTTTTGCAACTTTGGGCTCGTGAAATCTGCTGCAACTATATCAACGAGGGACATGTAAAATACGAGGGTAATTTTAGCAAATATTTTTTAAAACTGTATGGATTGAGATTTTTACTTTTTACTCTTGATTCATAACCTTTTGAGTCAAATAATTACACTAACAAAAGAGTATTTATCAAGAGTAAGGGGTATAGGTCCAGACTCATGTTTATTTTTCCTGATTGAAGAAAAACACCATTATTGTAAGGAAAAATACACCATATATCACATTTTATATCTATGTTTAAAGTGAATATCATTTTTTAAATCATAGTAAATTATAGCATATTTCCAATTTTCAATATGAAATAATTTTTTTCCAACTTTACCCTTTCTTTTAGGGTTTCATCTTTTTCATTCTTCTCAAACCCTTACAGCTGCACATACCAAACCTCTCTCTCTCTCTCTCTCCTCTCTTTTTCTTTTTTTTTTCCATTTCTCTCTCCTATTAACTCTCTCTCGTTGCGATCTCTTTGCCAAACTAAGGAGTAGCGTGATTTCGGCGACGACAACAAGTTGACGGGCTCTCTTTGTTTCCCTCTATGTTTCCTCTTTCTCATCCCCACCTTTCTCTCTCTTCCCCACCCGTTCTCTCTTTGCTCGATACGTCCTTTCATAGAGACGTCGTCGGCATCGAAAGAGGTGGCCAGAAAAGATTGTGCGAAAAAATCACGATCCTTTTCGTGCTAGTCGCCAAAGAGCATGGCTAATCATCATGCTCGTCACTTGATTGATGGATTTAGGATATGGATATTGCATCATCACCAAATTGACAGTTTTAGGAGAGTGGAGTTGCGTTGTCTACGGAGGTCGCCATCAACGCCAGAGAACTTCGGCATTTTCGCTTGTTGGTGTCGGAGACAGGATTGCATGGCAAGGGGCTGTCCAAAAAGGTGGGTGGCCGGGTTTTTCTACAAAATTGGGATTTAGGGTTGATTTAGGATTTTACGGATTTGGGGGCAAATCGTCATATTTTGTAGAATTTTTGTAAAAAATATAAATAATATGAAATTTTAAAGCATTAAATCCTGGATTTCTAAAGTATTTACTAGTCCTGGCATGGGTGGCCGAAGTTTCGAGTAAATATGGTATTTACGAGTAAATACAATATTTACCGGTCGCTGATGACGGCAAATGGATTTGAGTTTGAATCTAGTAAATAATGTATTTACCCGTAAATACTTACTGAATTTGAGTTTGAATCTGGTAAATACAGATTTACCAGTAAATACAATACTGAATGCAATTTCAAATATGGTAAATATTGTATTTATCAATAAATACATGACTAAATGATTGAATCTAATTCTTGATCTGGTAAATATTGTATTTATCGATAAATACTTTAGCAGTTAAAAAATTGAATATGATAAATACTGTATATACTTGACAATATTATAGTAGTTATAAGTTTGAATCTAGTAAATAATATATTTACAAGTAAATACTTTAATAATTTCAATTTTAAATATGGTAAATACTGTATTTACCACTAATGTTTTAGTAGTTACAAGTTTGCATATGGTAAATATTGTAATACCTTTAAATACTTTAGTAACTACAATATTGAATATGGTAAATAGTGTATTTATATGTAAATACTTTAGTAGTTACAATTTAGAATATGCTATATTTACCGATAAATATAATGTTTAATGGCCGCCAGAGTCGGTGGCCAGATCTTTAGATAAATATGATATTTACTGATAAATACAATGTTAAACAATCGCCAGAGTCAGTGGTCAAATTTTTGGATAAACACGATATTTACTCGTAAATACGTTATTTACTAGTTAATACAATGTTAAACGGTCGCTGGAATTGGTGCCTGAATTTTCAGACAAATATGATATTTACTAGTAAATACGATATTTACTGGTAAATACAATGTTAAACAGTCACCGAAATCGCTGGTCAGATTTTCAAGTAAATGTGATATTTACTAGTAAATACGGTATTTATTGATAAATACGATATTTATTGGTAAATACGATATTTACCTATAAATACAGCGTTAAACGGTCACGGAGTCGGTGGTCGACTTTTCGAGTAAATGTGGTATTTACTAGTAAGTATGGTATTAAATGGTAAATATAGTATTTATCAGTAAATACAGTGTTAAACGGTCGCCGAAAAACAGTCACCCCTCGCCGAAAAATGGTGACCGGTTGTCAAAAAATGGTCTCCGGTCACCGGAGCCGGCCGCCTGCCCCAGCCATGGTGAAATTGACTATAATCTACCTATTTTAAAAAATATGTTATAATTTACTAATTTTTAAAAAATAAATATTTAGGGGGATGAGTGAGGAGGAAAAGGAGGTTTAGGAGTATTTTTGAGTTTTTTAATAATGTTTAAAACTTAAAATATCAAATTATGTTATAATTTATTATTTTTAAAAAATATGTTACAATTTACTAATCACTTTACTAATTAATTATGTTATTTTCCTCCTTATCCCTTATTGTAACAGTTATGGCCTTGAACTTTCCGAAAGAGGGTTTTCAAGGTAAGCCTACCAGATGCTTGAAATGGGTTGAGCTGAGGAGGAAGGCCTGGCCGAGCCCTAAAACCCGATGGGCGAAGATTGGTCTAGGCCGAGCCTAACATTTTAAGAACAATTTAAAAATAGTAAAAAAAGGCTTGTCAGGTTAAAATCGGGCAAATCGTAATGGTGTTCATGCTCTATTCATTAAAATAGACTCGGTAATACTAAGAAGTAATGTAAATTGGAGGCATTACACTTTCTAAAATTGGTATATAAAAATACATTTTTTAGAAAGGGTAGTCTTATTTATATATAAAAGATACAAGTTAATAATTAAGATGATAAATTTAGAATCATAATTCAGAATTATTTTCAAAAAATATTATAACAAATCACGAATCATAATTTAAATCATGACATAAGTCTATCAATTAAACGCTCCCTAAATCTTCATAAGTAGTGCCGAGCATAATTTACATAATATATTAAGAAGACAAATTTTTGGTTACTTTCTACCGCTCAAAACTTGGATTTAGTTTCTGCGGAGGTAATGCAGTCCCATCAAACTTTAGCTACACAAAGTACAAACCCAAATACTGTGAGAGAATATAGAAAAAGATGCTCTTCTTCTATTCATCCCAAGTTTCCAACTTAGGAGTAGAGGGATGTGAACCCACACATGCTGGGACTAATAATGTAGGGCCCACAGCCCCTATAATCCCCGAGTTATACCAACTCGGGATAAATATCATTTCCCTCAAAAGAGGGACAACTTTGATTAGATCAAACAAAATATACCTAAAATCTTGGGCAAATTAAGCCCATTTAGCCAAAAGAGACATACAACCAGCCCCAAGTAAAAGAGACACATTTGCTCCTATTTGGAGCCTTCCATTGTTTTGCAACTTTCGGCTCATGAAATCTGCCGCAAGTAGATCAACGAGAGCCATGTAAATTAAGATCCCAGCTGATGCTGCATTAAAAATTCCTTCTACAATGAGAGCCGTTGGGCTAGTTTCTTTGTACACATTTGATATCCCTATACCAATTGCAATCCCAACTGGGGTTGTGAGAGAGAAGAAAATTGCCATTATTGTAACAGCTCGAGCCTTGAACTTTGCCTATACAAAGGGAAAAGGTGTACGTTAGCTATAAGACAATTGAACTTCATATTCATTCATCGACACTTTTTGTTTGTTTTTTTGGACTACCTTTTTGTTTTTTGTTTTTTGTTTTGTTTTTTTTTTTTTTTTTCCATCAGTATTATTGCATTCATTTGTCAATTCGAGGTACCCATTTCCAATTGCATATATCTATAATATGGTACACCCGTATCAAATGTCAACTCGTTATTTGTCGGTCTAAAATGTTATCACAATAATGTGGAAGGCAATATTTTCTCTATCGCACAATTAAATAAAAAATAAAATAAATAGTCTTTAATAGATTGTAATGATTCATGAAGGCGAGTATCATTATATTCTTGTTGACTTCTAGTGTAAAACCATCCAGCATGACACCATTTTTTCTTTTCCACTCTCAGATATATGAGAAAAAAAAAAGAGTTTTTTTTCACAGTTTTATTATTACATGATTTTTTTTTCATAAAAATTTAAATTTAATTTTTTATTACAGTGTTTTTTTCTCTCATATCCTAAATTCTAAAGTTTAATTAGGTGTTAACGGAGTAAAGGATACATAATTCAACAAATTATACTTGATATTTGTACACAATTCAATAACTAATGATAATAAATATAATAGGATCCTTACCAAACGAATTATAATTGCTTTTCTCTCAGCAATGAAAAAAGAACTATAATTGTTTTATGGCCATTAAATCTCAGAATAAGTTCAAACATCAAACATATCAATATTTTAGCTGAGATAATTGAGAACCGTATTTAATATATAGTTGTTATATAAAGTGGGTCAAAGTAAAAGGCTAGAAGTCATCAAGCAATAAATTATTGGAAATAACATAACTTAATCTGCTTTAAAACTATTAGATATTGAATAACACGTACCATTAGATTCAAGAGCAATCATGAGATGATCAAAAGAACCAGAGTTGCTAGATGATTATATTATTTTCGTATAGAATTGGGGAAAGAAAAATTACGAAAAAAAAAAAATTTACCTGAGCAATGCAACCTCCAAGTCCCATGCCCTCAAAAAATTGATGGAAGGTCAAAGCAGCTACTAAAGGCGTTATTGTTTTGGGACTTTCTGAAGCACCTAAAGAAATTCCTATAATGACCGAGTGTACTACAATACCCAACTCCAATACCTGCCAAATTATAAAAAAAAAAAAAATCAAAACTCTGCTTTTTCAACATAAACTCTTTTTTTCTTTTTCGAAACTGAAAACAAAAGAATGATCAATTTCAATCAAGACATAAAAGACAATTTCTTTTGTTATCTTCTTCATCTCACTTTTTCAAGGAAAAGAAAAAAAAATGTAAATAAAGGCTGCACCACACATGTGCCAAAAATATCCCCCACTTAGAAAATCTTCCCATAAAATGTAAATTAAGCTTGATAGGAAAAATATTTAAAAATAATAAAAAAGCCTGCTTGTTTCCCGGATTTAAACAATAATTCAAATTATTATTTTTTTCTACGATGTTTTCTATTAAAACAAATTTAAAATTCTGTTCAATTTTTTTTTATTCAAATCCAATTTGAAAACAAATAAGGATAATAATTCATTTCTTTTTTTATCCTTTTTAGAAAAAGCACAAACATTAAAAAAAAAAAAAACCATTATACCTGAGATATAACTCTGTGTCTAAGAAGCTCGGACGAGGCCGAATTCTCATCTCCGACGAAGCCATGAGAATGGCCATGAGTGGCGTGCGTGTGGACATGCACGTGCTCCGAGTGCTCGCCGTCCTTCTCCTCATCACCGACGCTCGCCGGCGCTGGAGACTTCCCGCCGAAGTGTGACTTCTGGAAGTACGACGTCGCGAAGGCGTCGACCATGAGCGTGAGAATAGCCGACATCATGGCGACGAAACCGGTGAACGGAAACTCCCACGGCGTCTCGCTGAGGCACGGCGACGTGAGGTTTTCGAAGGCGTCGGGGAGGACGTGGATGAAGCCGGTGGCGAGGATGACGCCGGCGGCGAAGGCCTTTATCATGAAGAAGACGTTTCTCTCAGGGCTCAGCGCATGAATTGTCTTGCCGAGCATAGGAAGGCAGACGCCGATCCCACTCGCCACGAGTATTGAGGCGATCGCCGCGAGCTTGTACTTAAGGGCTTTCGACTTGTCGCGGTCTCCGTCTTCCGGATCGCACGTGCACTCTCCGAGCACGTGAGCCGGGACTGATACGAGGAGGAGGTAGAAGAAGAAGAGGAGCTTATTATTAGTGTGAGAAATTATCTTCATTGTTGTGTAGAACTATGAAAAGAAAAGCACCAAAAAAAACAAGGGAGAGGAGAATGAAATTTTTTTTTTTTTTTTTTTAATTACGAAAGGATATTGTGAATGGAAGAGAGAGAAGTAATGGCGCTTTTATAGGAGGAATTAAGTATTGAACCAGTAACTTCGTGGTTGTGCGTAACTGAATTATTATTATTTTTGGCTTTTTTTGATAATTCAAGTGGAAAAAGAAAAAGGATATAAATGCGGAAATAATAATAATAATAATAATAATAATAATAATAATAATAATAATAATAATAAAAAGAAAGATGTATGTTCCTCCCGGGGGAAAAAAAAAAAGAAGGAAAACATGTGGACATGTGATGAAATATACCTAAAAGGTAATTTGCCCTTCCCATTTTTTTAATCTATTATTTGCAATTATTTTTTCCTTCTCTTGAGAAGGTAATCGTTTGGAATTTTTTTAAAGTTGACTTATTGATGCTAAATAGGATAATGACTCTACTTGTAATGTTGAATAAGAAATGATGAGGACATTCCAAAAAATTAATTAGTTTTCTGGGTTAAATACATTATATATTATGTATTAAAAAATATTTGACTAAAACTTCGATTTCATAAAACAGTTGCGGCGATTTCTAAGGGCCATAACAAATTCTTGTGAAAGTGTCGAATAATGTCGACATTAAAAGCATTAAATACCTTTAAGTCTTTAAGTTCAAGCCTTTCCCATTAGAGTCAATGCCTAAACGGGATGAAATTGACCCAAGAATGATGATATTATGTCATGTATGTTATTCTTTAAAATTTGAGTTCTCATTAATAAAAGTCATCCAGTTGTTTTTTTTTTTTTTTTTTTTAAAGTTCTTATAATTAATGCAGGCTGGCTAACTAATTGCGATTATCTCATTGAGTAATTTTGTCCCCTTTTTGAGATAACAATCTGTCAATAAAAGACCATAAAATATCTTTTTGTTGGATTAATTAAAAAAATTCCTCATAAACTATTATCTGTATAATACTTTATCTTTAAAGATCAAAACGTAACACTCATTCTCTCTGAACTATGAATTGTTAACAAATGTATTCCTGTTAGTATTTCTGACAAAATCACCATATGTCATACAAATATCGATTGTTCCTAACAGTTTAGTGCACAATTACTCTTCTACTCATGATCCTTAGATTTATATTTTTTTAAAAATAAATTTTAATTTAATATGATAATAAATAAAATATAAAATAAAATAAAATTTTTAATTTTACTCTTCTAATTAATTAATTATAAAAAATTACAAATAAAGTTTTAATTTTTAATTTGCAGTATTTTTTTAAAAACATTTAGGATTACTAAAATACCCCTAATTATGTAATATGAACCACTTTTTATGTTAGAAAAGAACATTTTTGTTAACAATTCATATTTTATGTTTTAAAAATTTCAGAATAAAGTGTTACAAAGGTAATAGTTCGGGCGGAATTTTTATAATTAATCCTTCACTATTTTATTGTTTAAATATTTGGAAGTCCAAATTGATGGGTTTCACGGTTTTTCAGAAAGGATGTAAATTGGGAAAACTTCCTATCAAGATGAAGAAAAGAAAACTGTGAGAAAATGATAATTCTCATTCATCTTTCAACTAATTACAGAAGAGCTATATATATAGCTTGTATGCATAAAAAAAGCTCGTAAACTAAGAAAACAAATTTTGTTAAGTATAACAAACTACATGACAGCTCAACAAGACTAACAAACTATTATTACACTTATTATACTTAAATTAACAAACTTAATACGCCCCCTCAAGATGGACCATGAATATCCTTGATGGCCATCTTGCATAAGAAAGAATGGAGTAACGGCAAAGGCAAAGCTTTAGTGAAAGGATCAGCAAGTTGATGCTGAGACCGAATTGGCATGAGCTTCACCAGACCTTTAGTAACCATATCACGAACAAAATGACAATTCAGCTCAATATGTTTAGTCCGCTCATGAAAACTAGGATTGGAAGCAATATGAATTGCAGTCTGATTGTCACAAAAGAGGATTGTAGGAGAAGACAAATCCAGGCAAAAATCTGATAATAGTTGTCTTAACCAGATCAATTCACTTACTGTGCACACCAATGCCCTGTACTCAGCTTCAGCAGAAGATCGAGAAATCGTTGTTTGCTTCTTGGACTTCCAAGAAACTAGAGAATCACCAAAAAAAAAAAAAAAAAACACAAAAACCAGTCACAAACTTTCTAGAATCTTTGCACAAACTCCAATCTGCATCAGAAAAAGCCTTCAATTGAACTGGTGAAGTGGCAGAGTAAAAGAGACCTTGTCCTGGACTTGCTTTGATGTAGCGAAGCAAATGATGAACTGCTTGCAAATGTGGCTCTCGTGGTTTTGTTAAATATTGACTTAACTTATGAACAACAAAAGAAATATCAGGACGAGTTATAGTGAGATATAGTAGCCGGCCAATCAATCTTCTATACTAAGAAGCATTATATAAAAGAGCACCCTCATCAACACATAGCTAAACCTTTGCATCCATTGGCACAATTGATGGTTTACAGGCAAGAAAGCCTGAATCTTTAAGTAACTGCAAAGCATAATGTCTTTGGGAAAGAACAATCCCACCAGTAGACCTAGCTATCTCGAGACCAAGAAAAAAAATTTAGATGGCCTAAATCTATGAGCTTGAATTAACTATGAAGAAACCTTTTTAAGTGATCAATGACCTTAATGTTTGGTCCAATGATGATGATATCATCAACATAAACCAGTAAGGCAATGAAAGAGTCACCATCTCCCATAGTGAATAGAGAATAGTCTGATTTGGATTGTACAAACCAAATTTGATCAAAGCACAAGCAAACTTAGAATTCCATTGTCGCGAAGCTTGTTTAAGGCCATATATGGACTTGTTGAGTTTACAAACCAACCTGTCACCATTAGAAACTTTCGCTCCCTGATTACCATATCCAAGAGGAAGATCCATGTAAACTTCCTCAAACAATTCACCATTGAGGAAAGCATTATTAACATCCAGTTGAAATAAATGCTATTTCTGACTCACAGCTAAAGCTAATAGAACTTTTACCGTGGCTAACTTAGCCACAGGTGAAAAAGTCTCAAAAAAATCAACTCCCTCCTGTTGTGTAAACTCTTTGGCCACTAAGCGAGCCTTAAATCTTTCATCGAACCATCATGCTTGTGCTTAATTTTATACACCCATTTACAACCAATGGAATGTTTTTCTTTAGGCAAAAGAACAATCTGCCAAGTATGATTCGCCTCCATAGCTATTAATTCATCTTTCATGGCATCCCTCCATTCAACATGCTTAATTGCTTGATGATAAAACTGAGGCTTTATAGTAGAAGAAACACTCATAACAAACTGCCTATGAGAAGTGGAAAGCTTACTATAATCAAGCACCTTGGACAAAGGATAAAGAACCGTGGATGAAGAATCAAACTCCAAATTATTACAATGAAAGTCTCTAAGATAAGAAGGAGGCCGAACAAGTCTGCTAGATCTTCTTAAAGATAAATCAGGTACCTCAGAAACCATTGGCAACTGAGTATCTTTAGTAGAACCAAAATCAGAGATTCCAGGAGAAACCTCATGATGATTGTTAACAGAAAAATTAGGCAAGACTAAGTCAGGAAAATGATCAATGAATGTATCGTTAGATCCGATAGAGTGAAAGGGAAAAATCTCCTCGTGGAAAACCATATCCCTAGAGATAAAAATTTCCCTATATTGTAAATCCAGTAATCTATATCCTTTGACACCATGTGGGTAGCCTAGAAAAATACATGCGCATCCTCTAAGCTGAAATTTTGTTCGATGAGCCACAAGTGTAGATGCAAAAACTAAATATCCAAAAACTCGAAAAAGAGAGTAATCAACCATATTGGCATATAATAGCTCATAAGGAGTTTTATTAAGTAACAAGGGTGAAGGAGTTTTGTTTATCATAAAAGTGGCAGTAAGAATACACTTACCCCAAAACTTGATTGGTACTCTTCACTGGAAGAATAGAGCCCGGGCAACATTCAGCAGATGTTAATGTTTCCGTTAAATAACAGAATTTTGTTGAGGTGTGTCCACACAAGAAAATTGATGTAGTATCCCAAGTCTGTCAAATAACTCAGTAAATGCCAACTCTCGAGCATTATCTGTCCTAAACTTCTTGATTTTAGCATTAAACTGAGTCTGTACCATATTACAAAACTTATGAACTATAGAAAGCACATCAGACTTTTGTTTGAGTAGATAGACGCATGTAAAACGAGTGCAATCATCAACCAAGGTTAAAAAATATCTATAACCAACATGTGAAGAAACATGCTATGTACCCCAGATATCACAGTGCACCAAATCAAATGCAGAAGTAGATAAATGATTATGAGAATCAAATGATAATCTGCGTTGTTTAGCTAATGGATAAACATAGCAGAGGCCATCATTATTAAACTTGGAAGCATCAAAATTCAATGGTTTCTGTAAACATACAAATTTTTTAAAAGACAAATGGCCAAGTCTAGCATGCCAAATCTTGGCAGTGACATTATTCACAAACAAATGAGAACCATAATTTAAATCTGTAGACAGCAAACCACAGTTATTAGCATCCAGAACATATAGACCATCCAACCTATCACCCATGCCAATCATCTTCTTGGTGCTGATATCCTGAATCACAAAGGAATTAGACACAGAATTTAAAGTCACCTTTGTATTAGTAGTCAGTGCACTCACTAAAAGTAAATTGAATCTAAACTGTGACACAAAGAGCACATCTTTAAGCAATATCTTCAAACTTATTCTCACATCTCCATACATAGAAACATGAATACTAGTATGATTAGGCAGCAAAACACTAGAGTTCTTTATAGGTTTGAAGAACACAAAAAACTCAGCCTTTGAACATATATGTCGTGAAGCTCCAGAATTAACGATCCAATGCTTTGAAATGGATAAAATAGTATTCAAAGCTACTGATGAATAAGCACCTGTGACACAAGTAACATTTGAAGTTTCGGGTTGATCATTAGACACCTTAGTGGACTATGCCAGCTAAT